GGTGGCTCACGCCTGTAATCCCAGCACTCTGAAAGGCCGCGGTGAGCACTTCACGAGGTCAGGGGGTCGGGACCATCCTGGCTAACACGGTGAAAGCCTGTCTCTACTAAAAATACAAAGAAATTAGCTGGGCATGGTGGCACGCGCCTACAGTCTCAGCTACTCGGGAGGCTGAGGCGGCACAATCGTCTGAACCCAGGAGGCAGAGGTTGCAGTGACCTGAGATCGTGCAACTCAACTCCAGCCTGAATCACAGAGGGAGACTCCATCTCAAAAAAACAGAAAAAACAAAATCCCTGATTTCAAAGGACAAGGCGGGTGAAAAAATTGAAGGTCTGGAGTCCAAGACCAGCCTGGCCGATATGGCGAAACCCCGTCTCTACTAAAAATACAACAATTAGCTAGGTGTGGTGGTGAGCACCTGTGGTCCCGGCTACTCAGGAGGCAGAGGCAGGAGAATCACCGGAGTCCGTGTGAAGTGCAGATTGCAGTAAGCCAAGATGGTGCCACTGCACTCCAGCCTGGGTGGCAAAAAAAAGACTCCAACCCAACAACAGCAAACAATATGTGACGCTACGAAGAAAAATCAGACCGGCCCTTGCACTGATGGGGTGGAGAGCCGGGCTGAGCCTTGCTTCACGGAAACACATCGGCAAGGTAAAGAGGAAATGTTTTCATCCTGGTTTCAAGGTGACTGTGCGGCTAAGAAAGCTGACTCAAAAGAGATCAAGACCGACGCTCGGAGCAGTCAAACCTGGGGAACAACATGGCCAAATAAATAGGCAAGGCTCCCCGTTTCCTTAAAAAGAAACGGAAACTCCATGAACATCGTTCAGGGACAGATGACATAATGACAGGAGATGAGAGATACCGACTCAAAGCTAGGAGACCTGACAGACACCTACTGTACACCTCCTGCACTCAGGTGACCATGAGTTTGTCACACCGGCCTGGGGTCTGGTAACTTGATACTTGGGCCTGGGAGACAAACGCGTGGCATGAGCTGAGGAAGGGATAAAAATTCCCTGATATCTGCGTTTAGTATCCCATCATACATTTTTATTCAAACCGATTTGTGTGTATAGAGCCTGTCTTCAGAGTTGATCTCCCTCAGCCTAGTCTTAGGTACCAAAAACAAGGAATGCAGGGGTCACCTGAAAGAATGATTAGAGCATCCTCCACTACATCATGAGATGATGGACTCTCGACAACCAGTGCAGAGTTGAGGTTGTCTTCCTCAAATGGGATTTCATTGGTGTCTCCGTGAGGCTGGCTGGAGTCAGAAGGGCCGTAGCTATTGGAACGAGTGATGACACATTCCTCCGGTGAGTCTTCAAGGACTCTCTTGACATCCACCTTCGGCACCTCCCCGATGAGCCTGAGGGTATCGAGATGACAAAAGATTAAACAAAGGGGGATTGGACCCCGGGAACCCCTGGCCGGTTTTCACAGGAGGAATAAGAGAGGGCCCTCAGAAGGCAAATGGGAGGTTCCCTTTGAGAGGAAACAGGCAATCCTCCTCTGTGCCACGGAGCATGGCTGCCATGGGAAACCGGAGGGAACGAGAGCGGCTGGTATTCGTCACACTGGGCAGAAAGGAGCTGAGAAGAGCAGAGACTCAGTTATCCCTGCATAGTTCAGACACGGCACTCGGCACATACAAAGAACCGCGACAGCTGCCACGCCCTGCGTCTAAGTTGGGTTGAACTGAACGTATTGTGGCCAAGGGAATGGAGGCTTTCGGCCCATGGTAGACACCAGGGAGGGTGAGATTCTAGAACTTTTCCATACTTTACCAACCACGACTTGCTCCTGATTATTCAGCCTTACCTGGGGGCACGTGACTCCTCTACTCGCTCAGCCTCTGCGACGTGAACGTCTTCATCCTCATCTTGGTCAGTTTCTGCAAGTACAGATGTGTTCGTTCAGATATTTCCCTTTTCACACTCTGCAAGCACAGTCAGCCCAATGTGCACAGGGACACGAACGTCTGCGTGTGGGTCCCTGTTCTACTGAAAGCTCTCACGGTTTCTCTTTAACAAAACGCCCTGGCATGGTTTCCTGATCCGCCAGGCAATGCGTTTCTGATCCGGAGGCTCACCCTCAACATGAGGCCAAATGTTGACAAGACCTTCTGCTCCCACATCACTGGAGGCTTGTGCAGCCTCTCTCTGGACTTTGGCAGCTGTCTCCCCCTTCCTGACACAGACCTGACGCCCAGGGACAGGCTTGCCTCCCTGTCACAGTTCACATTTAAAACCTGTTTCTTTCTCTTAGGAGAGGATGAACAAACTTGTCCCACAATCCCCTGCACATCAGGTGACTTCACAGGCCCACCAAGTGGCTTCTGCTGTGTTATTCAGGGGCATTCTCCCCACACGGAGTGCTCCAGTCTCAACCGCTTCCTAACCCCAAATGCCCACACATCAAGTGCTGCCTCCAACACCACACAGCGAGGGCCTTTATCTCCTTTTGAGAAGCGGTCGTTAAGTCTTCGCACATTGGAATGCTTCACACACTGCAAGGTATCTGCCTTTGCAGGTGGAGAGAGAGAAATTTGCCTGACTTTGCAGATGGAGAGACAGAAAGTCAGGAAGGAGAAATCAATTGCTCGCTGACAGTTACTGAAAACACTGCTGAAGATACAGCCTGGGAACCTTCATTCTTAATCCAGAGCTCTTTCCACTCCAACAACCGCCCTCCTGTCACAGCTTCCTATTTGTCCTTTACAACTGGACAGATGCTGCCCCTTGTTCAAAAGACCACCTCCCATCAGATTATGTAAGGAGCAGAGTCCTCTTGAAGCTCCCACAGCGCGTACTGTGTGCTATCGCTGTATTTCCCCCAGGCCCCCAGAACAGAGCTTTCCCTACTGGACCTCAGCAGACACCTGAACTGAATGGCAGTTCACGAGCCTCAGGCATTTCGACCCACAGACTAGATGCTACTTGTCTGCAGGATCTTCTGTGGTACAGAGAGGATTCCTGTCAACGTGATTTTGCCTCTTGCTGAGAAAAACAGGTGGTTCTGCGCCTGTGTCAGGAATCAACGGCTGAGATTTTACCCTGAGTATCACACCAACCTTACTGCAGACGTGGAAAAGTGGCTACATACTTTGGCCTCTCTCATCTGTTTTTAACAAGATGTTAAAATACAAATTTCTATTTGCCTGGAAGTATGGGGAAAATGAAATAAATTCTGATGAAGAGAGTGTTCGGTTTCTCAGACAAAACACAGAACACTCTTCAGCACTTCGGTGATGGTGAACCTATAGAACTTACCTTCCGTCTTCAGCCGGCAGCCCAGGTCGTGGGCCGCTTGACTCATAAGAAGTTTATTTTGGCTGTCTCCGTATTGCCGGTCCTCCTCATGATCTTTTCGACCTTCTGTAGGCAAATTCAGAAAAGCAGGTCACATTAAGAAAATCACACTTCACATAAGACCAAACCAGTGTTTAGTCATAGCACGAGCACAGAATTGTTCTCAAGGCAAGAATACAAATTCTGACAGGGAGATTCTAGGGTGCCCTGGATGAAGCCTGGTGAGCAGATGAGCCTGCTTTCCAGATGCACAGGCCAAAATCTCCCTGTACAGGTGGACCATAGTGCTATATTCTCTGCCCGGGTCTACGCAAAGTTAAACCAATTTTTTTCCCAGAAAATATCCAAAAATTAGTCAAACTATATTCCGGGAGTGTTGCTGCAATACTGACTCATCTCACCAGGCAGCAAGGTCATTGAATGGTCAGAGGCATCTACACATGTGAGTAAATTCTAACCACACTTGCTTGAAAAAGAATCTGCGAGATTTGCGCAGTGGAAGTATCGTAGCCAATGAGTTTTATCTGAGATGAGATTATTGCTCATTGAAAACTTTCCCCAATACCCCGCCGTGATGACATGCAATAGAGCCGGCATTGACAATTTTGGACAGTCTCTAGGGAGAAGGAATAAAAAAAGACAAAACAAAACCAAACAAAAAAGAATCTGTGGGCCGGGCACGGTGGCTCACGCCTGTAATCCCAGCACTCTGAAAGGCCGCGGTGAGCACTTCACGAGGTCAGGGGGTCGGGACCATCCTGGCTAACACGGTGAAAGCCTGTCTCTACTAAAAATACAAAGAAATTAGCTGGGCATGGTGGCACGCGCCTACAGTCTCAGCTACTCGGGAGGCTGAGGCGGCACAATCGTCTGAACCCAGGAGGCAGAGGTTGCAGTGACCTGAGATCGTGCAACTCAACTCCAGCCTGAATCACAGAGGGAGACTCCATCTCAAAAAAACAGAAAAAACAAAATCCCTGATTTCAAAGGACAAGGCGGGTGAAAAAATTGAAGGTCTGGAGTCCAAGACCAGCCTGGCCGATATGGCGAAACCCCGTCTCTACTAAAAATACAACAATTAGCTAGGTGTGGTGGTGAGCACCTGTGGTCCCGGCTACTCAGGAGGCAGAGGCAGGAGAATCACCGGAGTCCGTGTGAAGTGCAGATTGCAGTAAGCCAAGATGGTGCCACTGCACTCCAGCCTGGGTG